CACTCTATTTATACGATATTTAAGGTGAAAAATATTACGTCCAAAATTGAACACTAAGAATAAATACATATGTCTGTTGCCCGAAATGCGCATTAGTTTATTAAAATCTAATGATTAATTTGACTCAGGGAAACCTTTGTGCAAGATCTCATTAAAAAGAGACGTATAGGATTGAAACTCGTTTATGGTGCAAATTGCAAAAGCAGCAGATGTAGGGACCAGCTGTGACGATTAAGCAGCCGTTGACAACTGGCGGTGGGTATTATCAGGGACTGTAGGTGGCTGGGGACGAGTCTGACAACGCGGCTACCTGTCGAATATCCATATATAGCCCTATTGCGGCCCCTAATTGGGAGAGAATGACCCACCAGCAATAAGGTCACCGATGCCACCGCTGTCTTGCGGTTTGAGCTAGGCAGGTCAACGACAGGAAGCGAGAACTTCCGTAATAAACCAGGAGCACTATAAAGTCTGCCAGCATCGACTAACCTCATGAAACTTTATGAAAATTAGTCCGTTGTGCAAGCAACGCCCCTGGTCCTGTTGGGCAACTACTGTGACATGTCGCACACGATAATTATCGCCCTGACGAATGTCTGTATAATCGTGATCGTCGTCCTCATCTTAATGTTTGTCGGGATAATGAAGTGCATGATGATAATAGTGATTAAAACGATGACAGTCATTAAGAGAACACTGTTAGTTACGACGATTACCATCATATTCATCAGTATGATAAAGATTACAGAGAAGATAAGAACAACGTGAATACGGTGATCATGAAAAGATTATCACAAGTGCGATCATGCCATGAAAATGACGTTGAAAATGACAGTAATCATGGATGTGGGGAAAATGATGCTTAACGCAAATAACATTTTAACTTTTGTTCGATCATTAGCTTCATCATCGTTGTCTCAATCGTCGTAATCATGTTCGTCGGCACTAAGCTTCATCATCCCTAGTGTTATTTTTAATTATCGTCTCAACATCATCGTTTGGATTACCGTGTTCATTATGGTCGTGACGATAACTTTTAATCGTACGATGGTTAAAATGAAGGTCCGGGTCATGAAATTTTGTCACTGTCATCATGGTCTACATGGTAATCTCGTTGACTAGGATCGGGATGGTAATAAACATCATTTTCGTTAACGTAATTGATGATTATCGCAGTGTTTATCATATGATGAATACGATAATGAAATTCATGGTTATTACTACCTAATCCATCACAATCATTATCATCGTGGTGGCCATGAAGGCAGTGGTGATCTTGACGAGCAAGATGGTAGCATGACGTGATCACGACCATTATTTTCTTCATGGTCACAATGGCGATGGTTAATGGACATCATTATGATGGCATATTTGCGATGGTTAACATGCCAGTGATCATCATCGCTCTTAGCATGTTTTTCTTCGTGTCTTAATGATTATCGTAATCTTTATCGTCATGATGATGATTTTAATCATTTGATATTCTTTGCAATGATAATCGGACTAATCACCGAGGCCCCTGTTGCCACACTCATCGTCATAGTCGGCGTTGTCGTCAGTGTCATAGTTTTCTTTATGACCACAGTCATCGTCTTCGTCCTCCTTATCATCATTAGCCATTTCATCGCCCTGCTTCATTAGCAGTTCTAGATTTGCATACAAAACTGGCCCACTGTACTCATAATTACTTTTCTCCTGCAAATTCTGGATTTTATCTCGCCGTCGACGTACTTTGTATTTTGGAACCTGTTCTGACATATCTTTTGTTTAGCGGTACAGTTTTCCTCTTCTAACGTGTTCATCGCGCTGCTATATAAACTTTTTCTTCCACTGACATTTCACACTCCTGTTTCTGCCGTTATGCGTCCGTTCGTTTTTTATTCGTTCTTGTGATTTATCAGTCGGTCGTTCGTCGTATGCCAGACTTGCCATGTTG